TACACCCCTTTCAGGGTTTCTACATCAAGTGTTATTGGGTTGGTGCTCAATGCGTTATATTTGAGGATCTTGCTTTTTCCTATGTGCATGTTGAAGTCTACTACTGCTACACTATTTGTTTTGACCTGAATTTGTTGGTGTGTGTGGGATAGAAGTGTTAGGTCATCTGCGAAGTCCAAACCATGTAGTTGCACACAACCTGTCTATTTTAGTCCGTACTTCCCTGAGTTGTGGAGGTCTTCATAACTAAGTCATTTACCAGAAAAAGAGAAAAGGGGAGAGTAGGCAATTTTGTCTGATACCGATCTTCACTTATAATGCGCCTGTCAGCTGTGCTCCACCCAAGACTTTGCACTGTAGTCTGTCGTATGAATTCCGTATGATGTTGATTATGTTTTCAGGTATACTAGAGTGTGAAAGAAGTTTCTATTATGTTCTCCTATCCACACTGTCAAATGCTTTTTCATAGTCCAGGGAGTTGATGTATGGTGACGAGTTCCATTCAGTTGATTGTTCAACGATGATCCGTATTTTCGTGATTTGGTCTGTGTACTAACGATCCTTACAGAATTTGACCTTTTGATCTCGAAACTGGGCATCTAATAAGTCTTTCATCCGGTTCAGCAACACTTTTGAAATGCTTTCTTTATACTGACAGTGGTGTGATGCCTCCGTAGTTCTCGCATTTGCTCAGATCTCCTTTCTTTGAAATCTTGATGAGGTGTCCTTTCCAGGCCATCGGCACTTGTTCCTCCTTTCATATCTTCCTGAATAAAATATGGAGCATGTTTGAAGTTGCTTCCAAGTCTGAATACAGAGCTTCAGCTGATATATAGTCAAGTTCTACTGCTTTCTCACTCTTGATTTGCCTGGTGGTTATCCCGATTCCTTCTATCCTTGTTGGAGTGACATCTATTGGAAGATGTATGTTCTGCTTCGATATCCGGTGAATTCAATGTAGCTGGTCTATTCAAGAGTACCTCGAAGGTATTCTTCCCATCTGTTCCTCTGTTCTTGAATTTCAGTGATTGGTTTGCCTTCTTTGTTCTTGACTGGTCTTTCTGGTTTACTATATTTCCCTGCAGGTTGCGTTGCTGTGTCATGTAGTTGATTCATATTTCCTTCTCTTGCAGCTTCATCTGCTGTCGTTGCCAGGCCTTCCACATATTTCTGCTTGTTTGCTCTAATGCTTTTCTTCATCACCTTGTTTGTTTCTGTGTATCAGGCCTGTGCCTTGGTTTTTCCTGCTATTGCACGGCTGTTGTTAATTACTGTCTTCTTGTTCTTCCTTTCTTGAATCTTGTCCAATATTACCATAGAGGTCCATTACTTATGCCCAGCACCTCCTGACACGCTGAAGTTGATGCTTGTTTGATCCCTTTCCAATCGTCCTTCATAGTAGTTTCTTCTTTCAGTGGATCTTGTAATTCTTGGAACTTAGTGTTGAGAGTTATCTTGAATTCGTTGAGTCTGTATGTTAAAGAAAGGCTGTATTAGACCTCTGTAATGCTGTTTTTCCTAATTTGCAGTGTTTCTTTAGCTTCAGTTTCATCTTGGCAATCACAACCAGGTAGTGATCTAAAGCCACTTTAGCTCCTCCTCTGGTTCTCTCGTCTTCAATTATCCTTCTGGATTATTTTAGTGATACAAACATGATCATTGTTGTTCTGTGTAGTGCTATCCGGTTAGACCCTTATAGCTTTGTGTATGTGTTTGTGTGGGAATATTGTGTCATCTATAAACATTTTGTTGAAGGCACATGAATTTGTAAATCTCTCGCTATTTTCGGTCTCTTCCATGTCGTTCCATGATATCTTCATACCCGGTGTTGTCCATTCCGACTTTGGTGTTTAGGTCTCCAATCAGAATGGTCAGATCCTTTCTTGGACACTTCTCCCTAATCGATTGCAGACCCTCGTAAAAGTGATCTTTATCGTCGTCGTTGCTATCAATGGTGGGTGCATAACATTAGATAACACTCATTGTGATTCCCTTCTTCTTTGTTTCTAATGATGCTTTGATATTCCTAGATCCACGAGACTCCCACCTAATCAGTGCATTTCATGCTTGTTTGGACAGCATGAGAGCAATTCCGTGAGTGTGCGAAGCATGTCTAACGAATCTATCCTTTGTTGTCCACCTTGGGTTCAATGTGTTTCATTTATTCCGAGCATTGTCAGGTTGTATCTACTCATTTCTGTGACTGTACGGTTGATCCTCCCAGTCTTCCACATTGTCCGTGCATTCCATGTACCTATATTAATTGATGTCCAGGTTGTTAGAATGGGGATCAGCCTCGTGACTTCCGAAGAATCTTGGCTTTCACGATGAGGCGTCATAATTCTCCCTTGAACTCGGAGGACAGAGTTTAAATGTTTTAATTTGTTTATTCCGGTTGGCGTTTTTCGGCGAGGTTTCTTTCTACGGGATGGGGTTGCTGACCCCATACCCAACCCTCCTCTACTCGGTCTTGGGGTCGACAGCAACCCTAGAAGAGCTACAGGCGGAGTTGATTATGCACGATGAGCAGTGATTGATGGCGGCTAGCATTCAAATTCAGGACACTTGTTTCGTCCTGTCTGGGACTCGTCAGCAGAAGCTATCCGCATCTCACAGCTGATGTTCACTCCAGGACTGGAACTTAGTACCTTTCTCTTCAAATGTCATAGCGTTGTCCACTCAGTTACTGAGTTCAAATAGCTACTAAAAGATCCAAATAACCATTATATAGGAATGTAAATTCAGTCGTTGACTATCTGGACTCAGTTTTAAGTGGATAATTCGACGGCGTTTGAAGCAAAAGGTACTGGGTACGAGTTTTTGAGTTAATATTATCTCGGATGAATGTACATTTAGCTGACGAACTTCAAATAAACAAAATGTGCATTTTGGATTCCACTGCTAGACACCAACCGTCTCTTTACAAAACCATATTGTATTTAAAAATAGTTGTCTTGGGTCTTTTAAAAAAGATTTATGATATCAAGGCCAAGTTGCTTGTTCCAAATACTCTTGCTCTTTGCACTACTTTGCCTTTTTACGATGACAGTACACAACAATGACTTTCCAAGCGCCTGTTTAATTGGGTCATGCCACACAACCAAATAAAGTTCTTATAATATATGAGGAATTACAATCGAATAATTTTGGCAGTGTGTATAACTGAGACATGAGCATTGTAATGAGGTGAAAAATCTCTAGCTCAGTTTTAGTGACTTTCACACATACGTGTTTTGTTACTCACTGGTTTTGGCACTCATGTTTCGATTGGCGGCTCATATGTGCGAATTCATCCGAAATTATTGTAGTTCAGGTAGCTATCTTGCATCAGCAACCATTATCATTATCAAGATGCCGGGGTCATAACCTAGGATACGGATCTGTTCATATTTAACTTTTGGCTTATTTTCTTTACCTGTATTTCGGTATTGAACTTTCTGACAATAATATTAAGCGAATAAATACGTGAACGAAAAAAGAAGCAAATTATGTAGGATATCTTGGAATATTATATATGTGTAACTTTGCTGAATGTTTTCAGCTGACTGTATATTTAAATAAAACCAGAACAAATATAAATGTAGAATAATATAAATTCATTATATTTCATGGTTTCTCATCAACTGCTCATGATCAAATGTGTTAAAATTTTACATTGAGGTAAGATATAATATGAAACAATTGACATAAGTGAATGAAAAGAATTGGAATTACAAAAGTTATTAATAATAACTATATATATATGTTGTAAGCAGCCGATAAGAAACCGCGAAATATAATGAATCCATATTATTCTCCATCCATGTTTGTTCTGAGGCCCAGGACAGAGTGGGTTGGAGAATGCTGGCCGGCGGCCTATGTTCCATTAGGAGTAACAGGCGTAAGTAAGTAAAGTAATTGTTTGTTCTGGCTTTATTTAAATTCATAAATGTAATTAATTACATGACTGTATATTGTCAACTTTACTTAACCAGTCATATGGTTCAGATACTCTACATTTATTCCAAAATATGTATTATATAACAGAAAGTCAATTCAGAAATAATATTTCATCTATCTACCGGTGTTTTTGCTCTTAATTTATCAATATATGAGCTTCACTTTGGGTTTAGGAGTGACGAGTTTTGGGATTTAAAACTTCATTGTCAGATTAAAAGTCCTCATCTAAAATAAATAAATAAGTAGTGGAGACTAATTTTTTTAGTTACTTCGATTATTAGTTGGGTGCCAACGCTTATATATTATTTGGAAATGAATCACTAACATCTACTGTTTTTAATTTTTAGACTTTAGTTTTATTGTTAATAGAATCCTGATGGTCGATCTCAGGATGTCGAACTTCTGAGATAACATGCCTCATGCTTAGAAACAAGTAGTTAGATTTAGTGCTGGATATACTCACCATCTATTTTTTGTCAATTTAGAGTTCAATCTCAGTACAAATAAGGCACTATAAAATACTTAATATTACAGATGAGGCTATAGAATAAAACGTTAAACTCTTAAAGGGAGTAATATTTACATCGGAACCACTTAACTTGGTCTTGATGGATTCTTTTCTCATCCGTATTCATTGTATTTTAACAGTTAACCAGATTTCCTTGCTTTTAGTGTCAATATGTTTGGTAATATTTCAATGTATGAAATGCTTCTAGATCCTAGGTCAACTAAATCAATCTCTTTCTATTTAACTAGTTCTCGGTAAAAGATGTTTCTTGGGTTAGAATTTTTTTAGCGAGTTATTTTTCTGCGGGATGGGGTCGCTAACCTTATCCCCAACCCTCCTTTATCTGGGCTTGAGAACGGCAGTAGCCCCAGAGGGGCTTCAGGCGGAGTTTGTTTTTTGGGTACTCAGCTCAAAAGATGGTCTATGTGTATCTTATCACTTTGAAAACTTTTAGCCGGTTTTAAATATGTAATGACTTCATGTCAGTTTATGAATTGTTGGTATTTTCATTGTTCAGGTTTTTTTAACAGAAAAGTAAATATCTATTCATATCATGGATGAAGTTTGTTCCACTCAACCTACTGACTTTATAAATAATGATGTAATCAGTAAACCAATGGATAAGGTATTCACAATGCATTATGGTTATGTTTGATAAAAATCACAGGTTCCTGTTTTATGTGTTTATGCATCTGAAAAGAAAATTATGGAATATCCACTTGTGAAAAGTGAGTCTTCACCGTTTTTTCAAATATTTAATCGAATCCTTGTTTAGAGTATGTAACTATTGGGCGAGATCCAAAATGTGATATATGCATTAAATCTTCAGCGAGTGATTTTCTCTCTTTTTTTTACTATTTAGAACTACTTTTTAAAGTACATATTATTAATACTTGTAAAGAATTGAGGAGTTAATAAATAATCCCCTTTGGGCAATAGTCTTCGAAGATATTGTTGTCCAATCAATACACACACTCGATAACTGAATAAAAAAGAGCATCAAACGCAAATGACCAGTCAGTCAGCTACAACGTAAGACCAGGCACATATATGCATCGGTCCAAGTTGCTATACCTAATTAACACAACAAGATGAACACCGGATTCATAAAAGTAGTTAATTCAGTTGTGGTAATATATAAAAGAAAGATCGCATATGAGGGTATATTACAGGAAGTAATAATTAGTTCGTAGAGAGAAAGATATGAGGCGATTTTAATCTCATAGTCTAAGGGAAGATAGAGAGTGTATACATCGACGCCATTGTGATCGATTCTGAGCCATGTCACCAAGAATCTCCAACCATTGGCTATCATAGTCGCGCGGTCCACAACCAAGTAGTCAGCATCTACCAACCTGTCTAAGACTAGAAGACAGTGACTTCAAACACTGATGCCACGTTTTGGTTTGGCCGCCCCTAACTTTCTTCCAACCATCCCCAACACTGGTCAACATTGCGCGTCCTGGTAATCCGTGTTCAGGTAAATGACCAGACACCGAGTTTAAAAAAGTTAGTAGTTTTTAAAAGTATTTTTTATTGATATTGTAAACTAGATCATTTATTTATTTATTATTAGCTTTATTCAATGTTATATTTCTGGTGCATTATAGAATTCTCAGCACAAACTATTTCAACAAGTTTCCGTTTCTTACTTCTTAATCGATATTGACGGTAAATATTGAATGATCGCCAGTTAGAAGTTAGCAATCCAGTCAATCGACATCGAAATAATGTACATTCTGTTCACTGCATATTACCAGCAACCATGATATCTCTGATTGGGCTTTTTGTAACAACGAAAGGTTGTGCACTTTTCAAAAACGCACTTGAATAGGTTATGCGATTAATAGCCATAATGATGTATTAAAACAAACAAGATTAGATAACTTATTGAAATATCTAGATGGCCGAAACAGGTAGCTCAGATGTTCAAGCAGGCCGCCAAGATATGTAGCATTCAGACAGATGACTAATAGTAATAGCCGTTGTTTAATGAACGAAGAACTGGTTGGTGTAAACCATTTTACTGTATTATAGAAAACCATACCTTGTTCCTAAATTATGAAACCAACACATTAGATACACTATTTGCCTTTCTTGAGGTGTATCTCACAAAATCCATCGTTCTTTCATTCATGTTGTTATTTCGATTACTTTCCGTTTCCATTTCTCTCCATTTTCCTTTTCTGTCCTCAAAAATTCTACTTTCAGTTCCCGACATATACTACTTATATTCGTCCGTACACGTAGTACACACCACATTAGTGGCAAAACGTACGAAAAGTGTGATTTAAAAAGGAAAGATGAAAAGGCTTATATGGAAACTTAGAGTCCAAGGGAAGCCTAATGGGAAATATATTTGCTCTCTTCCTGTAGATTGTCTCCGACCCCTAATCGTACGAGAACAAAATAAAGAAAATGGGTTTAATTTGTTTTACTTGAATTGTAATCGTTAGTTCATACTATGCGAAAGAATATAGGACTACATTAACCAACGTTTAAGATGCATTATTATAATAATTGAGGGTTTATCACTGTTCCTGTAAGCATGGTGGTCACATTTTTGCTTTTTGATAACATATGCTTTTGATAATTTCAATGAACTTGAAATATCTAAATTATTGAGCAGCCCAAATACAGTTCCCATGTTTGAAATGTAACACGTGTTGCGTATGCCTGAACACCGATTACCACGACGTGCAATGCTGACCAGTGTTGGAGACGGTTGGAAGAAATTTAGGGGTGGCCAAACCAAAACGTGGCATCAGTGCTTGAAGTCACTAACTTCTGATGTGAGCCATGTTGGGAGATGCAGACTACTTGGTTGGGGTTCGCGTGACTATCGTAACTAATGATTGGATACTCTTGGTGACATGGCTCAAAATCGATCACAATGGTGTAGGTGTATACACTCTTTGTCTTTTCTTAAACCGTATAATTAAAATTGCTTCATATCATTCTTTCTTTCTGTAATATATCCTCATATGCTATCTTTCTTTAATATATTACCACCACTGAATGAACTACTTCTATGTTAATGAGGTATGGCAACTTGGACCGATGCATATATGTGCCTGGTCCTACGTTGTAGCTGACTGACTGACAGTTAAAACTAATATTTCTGACTTAAACACTAGTTTACGATAAGTTGCTCCATTTAGCTTTTGTTTGAGCATTTGAGTCTTATTTATTTATTTATGTTTGAAATGCTAGACAAACTGAATTGATTCCTGTTTTCAATGATGTCTTTTCAAGGCATCGAATTGTAAAACCTTTAAAACTTCGATAAGAGAATCGTGAATAATACAACTATTCCTTTATTTTTCAACACCATCTGATGAACTCTCATCCACTCTGCTTTTTTTCTACTTAATCTCAATATTATTAAATACTATAAAATGTGTTGATGCAATAGGCAATTTTGACAAGTTGAATATATTCATCTTGTCAAAATCGGTATAACAGGTTCTCATTACTGACTAACTGAGTATCTTTACTATTTTCATGAATACTTTTTCTAATCTTATCTTTACTTATGGTTTTGGTTTTTAAGGATCTTATATGCATTCATATGATAAAACTTACTATACTTTTTATTTATTTATTTAGTTACTTTCAAGAGAACATGCAATATTTGAATTAGATGAAAATTATATTTGTACTATAACAGATCTTGGTTCATTAAATGGTACAAAACGTAATGATTTACATTTGAAACCTAAAATAAATTATGAATTAAGAGATGGTGATTGTTTGTATTTTGGTGGGATTTATTGCACTTTGAATTTTTGTCTTTCTTCATCTACATCATCGTTATGTCTTCTTAATCCACTTCATGAAGATTCAAAGTCACTTGAACTATCTTTACAGGTAAGGTTTTTTCTAAATATATGTACTATATGGTTTAAAGATATTATATTCGATCGAAATCTAAATAATCTCTGAATTTTTAAAGTTTGAATTACAAGGGGATCTTAGTCAGAATGCCACTGAAACCTAGATAATTGTTTTGTCCAAGTGTGAAACTCCTCAGCAGTGCACATCCACGACAGTGCAAGCGGGACCCGGACCCAGGACCTTGAAATTACGCACGAATACTTAACCGCTAGACCACTAAACCGACATCCAACGGTGTTGATATACAGCTTCAACCAATTCGCTATAATGCGCAATCCTCATCTGTTGCGCTTGGTATGTAGCTGTCTCATACCTGGCACGGATCAAACAATAGTAATTGGCTCTGGAAGCTAGTTTGTGATTGTTAAATAGTCTCGAATTAGGGCAAGAAAGAGCTGTTCAATGTCTTTTTTCAACAATTCCACCAACTGATATGAATTCTTGAAGAAAATACTTCTATTTTAAAATTTGCACATTTGCTTGGAAATCTCAAGATTTTTCTGAATTTTTTGAGTGAACTAAAATTATTTGAGCGAAAGAGAAGGATTTGTGGTGTGTTTAGCAACCCCGCCTTTAGAAACAAAACTTACTGAAGAAGTTAGTTATAAAATTCATTTAAACCATCTGAATTCTACCGTGGGAGTCAGCGAGTTTTTATGTAGAAGAGCTACGAGACCTCATGGTAAAAGCCGAGATTCTCCAGAAATCACGAATCCAGTGTCTCTTCTGATAACCAGAGTTACAATTAATATGAAGTGTTTGAACAGTGTAAGAGACCGGGAGGGTCATTCAAATAGCGGCGGAAATGGGAAGATACAATATGACTGTGCTTTGAGTAAGTGAAGTTGGTTGGACACAATCTGGACAGAAATGTTATTTTATTCCGGTCTTTAGAAAGAAAGTGGCCCCCGCCACAACAACAAAAGGTCTTCCTTGCAGATGCCAGCAAGCTCAGTAAAACGTTTTTTTCACACTTTTCACCTTTTCTGTCGTTCAAGTTGTCATGTAGATTTAGCCTGGGGTTATTAGAAGGGTTTAGGAGACCGATTCGAGTGTCCAGATAGAAGACTTATCATAATTTATCAAACGTATACATTGTTTTGGTAGTCAGGTCATAATGAATCGTCTTATGCACACTCTAACTTGTGTATACTTGTAAATAATTGTCATTGATGGCATTCGATGATCTTTACTCTTTATTGCAAATTGACTGAAGCTGGTGCTGTACTAGCGTTCGCTTCTGAACCTAAAGGTCCTTGATTCGATTACTAATGGGGTCATTAGGTTTTATTCTAGGACGAAACAACTGTACAGTGCCCTCTTGTTCGAAATGGTACCTCAACTGAGATCAGTCTAACGAATACAACTTAAGAATTTACTCAATCCCTACAAAACTCCAACCATACTTTGAATAATCTATTCCCACCTCAAGTTATTTTGTCATCGTTATACATTGCTATTAATTATTCCATAGTTCTGAAGAATTCTTTGCAGTGGTTAGATGGTAATGATCCTTGATGTTAGTTCATGGAAGTGTTCTTTTGAGAAATTTCAGACTAGATTGCAAACAGTTATCCAATTCCCACCCTAGTTTTTTAGTAGTTACTTCACACTTCCTACGGTTAATATCAGTTTGTAATGTGAACTAATATTATTTGAATTGTTGGTTTTTAGAAAACTAATCAGGATACATCTTGTCAGCTTCATTATTCCCAGAAAGAAAATCAATTATCTGTTCAGTCGAATTTTTCAACCAAACAGAATGATAATGATGATGATAATAATAATAACGATGACAGTGATTGTTCAGTTTTTAGTGAACGTCTTTTAGCTGAAATTGTTGTAAATACTGGTGAAGTTTCACAAGATTTATTGCCAAATCCCAATCACTTCATTGATAGTTATTCACCTTCTTTATCAAGCAGTACAGATTCAGATGTTAAAAAAACTGAACTCTTAAAAAATGAAAATGATATTAATCTGTTACAACATGAAATGCATGAAAGTTCATCATCAGTTAAAAATTGTAAACTTCATATGTATACTCAAAATGATGTTCATTTAGAAAGTGAATCATACCAAAGTAGGCTAAAATTTGTCGTTTATCATCTTTTGATTATTTACTTGTTGTATACCAAATTAGTTTATTTCTGTTTTAACCCGAGCTCCCAATTTTGGGGAAAATTTCGCACATTTTGGGGAAATGGCACAAAAGCTCCAAAATTTCCCCAGACCTGGGGAAATCCCCAAAATTAGGAGCTCGGTAAATAACATTCTATTTATTTATTATTTTATTTGCAATATAAAATGTCACAAACCTTTTCACTGATACTTTCATACCCGCCGAATAGGTTACTGGCTCTCTGAGCTCAGTAAATTATCAGATAATGTGTGCTAGCATTTGGAATAAAAGTTATACTGGGTTGGAGTCTTAGTGGCAATCGCCAATACTGGAGAAATGACAATAGATTGAAGTAATAGACGAAAGATCGCTTGTTTAATCAGTCAATATTGTTTTCGATTAAATCATCATCAGGCTTTACTCTAATATACACTAATATTTATATGCATATACGAAATTATTAAACCAATCAAGACAGTTTATGAGTCAATGATAACAATGGAACAGATTACATAAACAGGTGAAAAGTACAAATTAGTACTGTGGTGACAGGTGTGCTAGTTGTGATAAGAATATTAAGGAATTCACTTGGTATTGTTTGGCTTGTATCTTCCGATTGAAGTTTAAAACTGCGATTGATCAGTCTGGTATTGGCATACGTGCATACTGTGCGTATGCCTCGATATTGCCTTAATTCACAAGCTATTTGTAAGCGATGATGGATAGTGGCTAGTAGTGGAATCCAGGACGCGCGTTTCGTCCTATGCACAGTATGCACATATGCCAATAACAGACTGATCAATTGCAGTCTTAAACATCAATGGGAAGATACAAGCCAAACAATATCAAGTGGATTCAAATTCACCCCATTGCACAAGCAAGTGACTATCAGGACTCAGTAGCTGAATGGATTACGCGATGGTGTTTGAAGCGAATGGTACTGGGTTCGAGTCCCAGAGTGAACATCAACTCTGAGATGTAGGTACATCCAACTGACGAGTCCCAAATAGGACGAAACGCGCGTCCTTGATTCCACTGCTAGCCATTATCCATCACTGCTTAATGATAATAAAGGCTTGAACCAATGTTACATAATTGGAAATAGGTCAGTGATTAGAAAAAATATAGACACTGAAATCACATTACGTAATAAGAAGATTTCATATAATCGGAACGTGAAACGTACATTTGGGAGAAAAAATAAAATAGTAGGAGGCGGTGAAGAAAAAAACTATAATAAATAAAATCATTTATCAAGGCCAAGGGAAAGATAAGAAGGGTGTTACAAATTTCTTATGAACACAAAGACTTGGATTGTTTACTCGAATTCCTATAGCGTCTGATATGTTTAAGAGACGAGATCGAATACCATAAGGAAAACTAATAGGAATACGATAAATAAGTTTAAATGACTTATTTCTGTATACTACATGACCACTATCGATCAAGTGTGGTAGAACCGAGCTACGTATTGACTTGACAGAACCTTTTCCTGACCACAAAGGGAGGTGTTCACTAACTCTTTTGTTCAGTTGTCTGGTAGTGTGCTCAACATAGCCTTCTCCACAGGAGCAGCTGAATTAGTAAATACATATAGAAGTGGCATAACCAGGTAAATTATAGTTTAATTGGGGAATCACCATAGATCGGGTCGAGTACGATGGATAGACAGCCTATAGACTGACTAGAGCAGTGAAGAGAACGTTTAATGCAGCCAACTTCTGTCTCTTCAATCATAAATCTCTGATGTGTAACACAGTTACCCATACGTTAAAGGATTTTCCGGCACAACTTGTAATACCTATCATTTCTTTTTCTTTTACAGTTTTACAGTCAATGTCTTTCTAACTAAATAATAACACGATTTTGTGCTCGGATTCCTTTCATACGTTTGATTTCAATTGTAGAAATTCAGAAAATTTATTGTATGAGGTTTTTGTTACACTGAATAATGGATATGTGCCTTCAACCTCATTGATTCTAAGATCACTTCTTCTGTTATATCATTTTGCTGCATGACATATAGTCTATATGCTAAAACTAAACAGCTGAAGTAGTTCACTTTAAGTGCATACATTCAATTGTCAATACACTGTGTTGTATTTGAGGATAAACATGGAGAATGTAAGCATTAAGAAATATGCCGAAATTACCCAACTTCTATTTAGTGATAAATAAAATGAAACATTTTCTCGAATTGTAATAAAACATGCAAAGATTAAGCGATAAAAGAAGCTTACATTAAAATAAATAACATTTGACTTGTTTGTAGAAAATCATCGATTTCATGGTGGTCCCCCTTCACCGATTAAATAGTTATTTCTAACAGTTGAGATCATGAGTCAATTGAAGCTAGACCACCATGGAAAACCTGGAAGCACTGGACGGCTGTTTCGTCCCATTATGGGACCCCTCAGCAATGCGCATCCATGACCCCGCCCCGCGGGGTTCGAACCCAGGACCTGTCAGTCTCACGACGGGCGCTTAACCAACTAGACCACTGAGCTGGCCAGCATCCGATGGTGTTAATGTCTAACTTCGACTAATCCACGAAATTGAGCGCCACTGTACACCATTGTCATCACTGAGTTACTATCACACAACCGATCCGGTTGAGCCCCACTGGTCACTGCTCATGACTCATGATCTCAACCATTAAGATTACTACAATCTCCACAAAACCCCTTCTGAAATAATTAATTATAAATAATACAAACAAGTTTCATAGGGTAAATGGTTAACAACATCTACTATATGAAGTTGAATAATAGTGTGAGATAATAATAATAGTTGTGAGATAGTAACTCACTGATGACTATGGTGGATGCGTCGCTCAATTTCGTGGATTAGTCGAAGTTAGACATTAACACCGTCGGATGCTGACCAGCTCAGTGGTCTAGTTGGTTAAGCGCCCGGCGTGAGACTGACAGGTCCTGGGTTCGAACCCCGCGGGGCGGGGTCATGGATGCGCATTGCTGAGGGGTCCCATAATGGGACGAAACAGCCGTCCAGTGTTTCCAGGTTTTCCATGGTGGTCTAGCTTCAATTGACTCATGATTTCAACTGGTGAAGTTATTTTTAGTTGACTTAGTTACACATTTCCGTACTTATTTATTTTGTACATGGTTTAAGCATATGATCACGCCTTATAAGGTAGCACCACTTCCCTAATTCGTCATAAGCTTACTACATAGTCTTTCCAACTTTTCTATTGCAAATTAATTATTTTTTGTATGAGACACTTTTGTACACATATGTAGTTTATGAATATTCTTAAGTTCTTGAAGTCACTGAATTCGATATATAGTTTTCTGCTTGTTGTACCACACTTAACAAACCTTTAACCATGTTTAAATGCATCATCAACCTAACTATTACTCTGTTAAAGGTTAACTGTGACGTTGACAGATAGCACGGCATTTGTCAGTCATGATTAAATGTAAAAGTGGTTGAACTACTTCCTGAAGTAAAAAACCATGTATTTTTTTCTACCGTCTCCGACACAACATCTTTTCTATTATTGAGGCTGCTTGTTTTCTTAATTGTTGTCTAGCAAAAAAATAATCTTTCTTCAACTTACTGTAAGGAAGCTGTTTGATGAAATACTTGTCTATTTCTTACTCTATGTTAACTAAAGTTGAATATATCAAATAATTGAAAGTAATCTACCATCATAACTCATTTATATTGTTCTCTTTGGAGGAGATTCCACAAGGCATTCCTTAGACCCTAACAGAATGCCCCTCAAATGATTAGTCAAGATGTAAAGTATCTTTTGGCGTCACGGAGAGACTTTAGCTACACAACTATTAGGATTTCTTTCTATGCGAGGCTTAAGGCTTTGATTTCCTACCGCCGGTATGGTAATGGTATGCGCACTGATAAGAGGTCGCATGCTAGAAGAAATATAGCTATCTAGTGCTCTCTGACTTCCAATGGTCGTTTGGTTATGATATAAACTTTAGTCAAGTTGAACACTTTCCATAAACCTTTCATCCTAATGAAAAGAGATACTTTTCTTAACTATCTAACTAGGATATCTCTCAAATAATGTTTATCATTACAGGGATATCTTATGATTTTCGCCCATACTTTAAATAATGAATGCAGTGTAAGACCAAATTATGTTTTACTTTTTTTTAAAGATTCATCAACCACAGAATCTGTCAGGAAATCTAAAGGTTATATGATTGATGCTACTCCATTGGAATTGTTGACTAAATCGATTAAAAATCATCTTTCATCTAGTGATGTTGTTTCTGCTACTCCTATGATCCTAACAAACGAAACAGCTTCAACTCCTTTAACATACAATCGAGCAAACATCCTACTTGCACGAGACTCTGATCCAGGTTGTATTGTTCAATCAATGGATAATCATTTTGGACTGACTATTCGTTCGTCTACTTGTTTGTCTGCTGAAGAGTCAGTATTTACTATTGAGGAGAGTGATCTCGTGACAAGCAATGCAGCTAAAAGGTATTTTTTAAATTTTTTTTTCAGACTGGTTTCTGTTTGTTATTCTGAATTATTCAGAGCTATTTTTTGTAGTAAACAAAGTACTAAATATACTTAGACCAGTTAAGGTAAGGTAAGGGTTAGAGTGCTATTGTGAGATGGCGACATACAAATCAGACATCTCTCTCACTCCATTGATGGATTGTAATTTATGTCAATGAAGTATCATCCTGTCCCATTGATGGATTGTAATTCTTAGTTGGACTTTGTGTATCTGAGCTCAATTGACGCGTAGTATCGTGATCTATTATTATATAGTTTACTAATCAAGTGGTCTAGTCTCCAGTCTATTAACTCATATCCTCTAATCTTCCATCTGTGTGATCGTAAGTTTCAACATAACTTTCCTCTATATTAAATTTACATTATCGATCGAGTTTACTGCCTTCATATATAACTCGCGTTTATTACTTTGTTATTCAGGAAGCACTTATTTTCCTGATAGATTGGACGTTTCTACTTATCACGTACTATTGTTTCTTTTCTAGCATAGATGAAACCAGTGGACCTGAAAAAAATGAACTAATTCTGAACGGGTCAGCTGTTGATTTAAATAATAATAATAATAATAATAATAATAATAATAATAATAATAATAATAATAATAATAATAATAATAATAATAATAATGGGTTCACTTCAAATTCCGATCGTCAATCTACAATTCAACATGTGAATGAATCAGTAATAAGTAATGATTCCTTGCAAATTGTAGTTGATGATAATTACGGTTCAAGAAAATCACGAATATTTCATGGTATTTGTCCAGAAAAAGAAGAAAATATACAGGTAGGATGCTTTATGTTTTCATTTAAAATAAGTTTTTGTTGTTGGAATTTGTTCAGTTCAATGGCATATTTATTCATTATGGACCGCTGACATTATCTGGTAGATATTTTTATTCATACATGAGAGTGAATTTTTGGGCATTGATCTCCTACCAGGAGGTCCACTTATCAACTTACAATACGCGGATGATATAGTCCTGTTTGATGAAGACGCTGATAAAATGGAGAGTGTTTTGGTAGCACTAAGTAACAATGCCAGAATGTTTGAAATGCGCTTCTCTCCCTCTAAATGCGAGTTGTTGCTCCCGAACTGGCCTGCATCAACACCTGAACTAAGGATAGGGAGTGAAGTAGTCGAACTCGTTGACAACTTAACTTATCTTGGCAGTCTGATCAGCCCTAATGGGTTGGTGTCTGACGAAATCTCAACACGGGTTCGAAAAGCTCGTTTGGCTTTTGCCAACTTGTCCCCCCTATGGCGAAGGCGAGATATCCGTCTATCGATAAAAGGACGAATATACTGAGCAGCAGTTCGTTCTGTTCTAATTTATGGCTGCGAAGCGTGGCCATTACGGGTAGAAGATACTGGAAAGCTACTAGTATTTGACCACAGATGCCTTAGAAATATTGCTGGCGTCTGCTGGGATCATCGGGTAAGTAATAGTGAGATTAGACACCAGGGTATTAGGGAATGATGGTAAATCAGTTGATGAGGTTGTGAATCTTCATCGACTGAGATGGTTGGTCCACGTGTTACGTATGCCTGAACACCGATTACCACGACGTGCAATGCTATCCGGTATTGGAGATGGTTGGAAGAAAGTTAGGGGCAGCCAAACCAAAACGTGGCATCAGTGCTTGAAGACACTAACTTCTAGTCTGAGCCATGTTGGGAGATGCAGACTACTTGGTTGGAGTCCGCGTGACTATCGTAACCAATGGTTGGAGACTGTGAGTGACATGGCTCAGAATTGATCACAGTGGTGTTAGTGTATACACTCTTTGTCTTTCCTCGAACCGTGAGATCGAAATTACTTTTCAGCTTTCTTTCTACGAATTGACTTCCTCCTTGTATCATATTCTTATATACAGTCTTTATTTTATATACTACTACTATTGAAGTAACTACTATGAATTTGGTGTTCATTTTGTTGTGCTAACGAGTTGTGAAAACTTGGACCGATGTATATATGTGCCTGGTTCTACGTTGTAGCTGACTTACTGACTGAGATGTCTAGTAAAATTGCCTTTATATATATATAATATTCCGTAATGTTGACTCCTTTTTGTTATCCTACTTGGTAATCATTAGTAAGGTATAACATCGGTTTTCAAGAAATTGATACTCTCTGGTGGGATTGAACCAAAGCTACTCAGTTTTACTGTCTAAGAGATACTGTAATGAACAGAACACGGGTGGGAACAAGCGAATCTACTTAACACAACATTACAGAGCATCTCAATAAAATCTGAGAACCATATATCAAAACGTTAATTTGCAAAATGTCCACCAATTGTTTCAAAAATGCCTCAGACTTCATTGTCCTTGCATTTTCATACAAATTGCATTCTATTTCCGCTCTTGCTTTTCCCATCTTCTGCTGCCAGACATTACATTCCTAGCTCGCGTCATATACTACTTATATTAATATAAGTAACAATCACCACAATACTACCACTGAGCTATTGAAACATTTACTGGCCTCCTATAGGATTTAGATATTTAACAATAATTAATTATCACTGATTATTGACCAATTTTATGTTTGTCTAGTTCTCTTTTTCTTTTGTTATTGTTTTAAATATTTTTCTGGTGGAATCAACTAATTTGTGTACAACAACAACTCCTACTACTACAATTATCAATAATAAGAACGAACATTGTGGCTTGATCACTGTTAACGATCATGATATTGTTTGTAATAATATTACAGTAACATTACAGCCCTTAGAAAATCTTCAAATTTTTCATTATGGTATACAAAATCAAGATGATCAATTTCTTAATAACAGTAGTATATCTAATAAAGATCAAAATATTCACAATGATTCACCTTTTAAAACTAATGAAGTTAGTTTTATAATTTTTATTATTGTCATAGCTGCTGTTTTATCAGTATTAGGTTTTTGGAGATTATTAAGTTATTGATCGAGATCTTGGACCGATTGATATTAAACCACCATTGAAAACCTGGAAGCACTGGACGTTCGTTTCGTCACATTGTGGGACTCGTCAGCAGTGCGCATACACAACCCCGCTCGCGGGATTGAAACCCAGAGCCTTCAGTCTCGCGCGCGAACACCTAACAACTAGACTAATGAGCCGGTCGGCGTCCAACGGTGTTAATGTCTTACCTCAACCAATCCACAAAATTACGCGATCATCAACCTCATTACAATGGAAGATGGGTTCGAATCTCGCGGGGTGCGGGATCGTGGATGCGCACTGCTGGGGAGTCCCACAATAGGACGAAACGACCATGCAGTACTTCCAAGTTTCCAGTGGTGGTTTAACACCAATTGGTTCAAGATCTCAACCAATAGCTGCTGTTTGTTTGTTGCTGTTGTTTTTTTCCCGCGGTTTTTCTTTACATCTCTTCGATTAGTATGCATTTTCCTTCTAACTATTCATTGTTCAAACGATTACTGTCTTCGGAGTATATGATTCTAGATAAATATTTAAGTTTAAGTAAAAATTTCTCCGCAAAAATCATTCCAATTTTTGCCAACCCAACCCAAATCTATTAAATAAATCATGGTTGTACAAGTACGATATTGAACTTGAATAGCAAAACAACAACGTAAGTGATAAGGTTTAGAAAGTATTAGTAAACATCTGTTTCATCCTTGTCTGGTACATCTCAACATTGCTTGTTCATAAAGCAACGGTATTCAAGTTCTTTTTGACAAGCTCTGTTTTTTTAATTCACAATGCCTCGAAATTGCCTTATATCATAAGCGTTATAAACAGAGATGGATGGTGGCTTGTAGTGAAATTCAGGAGGTTATTTTCATCTTATTTGTAACTCGTCAGCTGGATGTACGTGCGAACGGTACTGGAAGTAAATGCCAACTCTAGGATGCAGTTTCATCCAGCTGACGAGACCCAGGTAAGACTAAACGCACGTCCTTGATTCCATTGCTCGCCACTAAACCATCTCTTTTTATAATACACATTGTTGGTTATACTGGTTGATAATTAATATGTGTCAACGTTTTCTATACATGATAGTTGTTTAGTTAATGAAATAGCTTTAGTTAAAATTAATTGAAATAAACTGTGGTTCTGATAATATTTTAATGACTTCGATTGAACTAATAACCATGATTAATTCACAAGAATATCTGAAACTACTTATGTAATATATGGTAGTAACATATACGGTTTTCTCAAAAAAATCTAGTGAGTTCAACTAGTATATATGTGGTATGGTTCTCGCTAATCACATTCATTATCTTTTACAATAAAGCATAATTCTTCAGAGAAGAAGGCTGATATTGTTTTATCTCAAGAATGGGGATCGGATATAATTCATACTGAGATTTTGTCTGAAAAAGTTCAATATAACAATCTTATTAATAATAATATTAGGAAGAAAAATACTAAATCCAGTTATTTTACTTCATCAAAATGTAATATACGGGGTACAGATTATAAAACAAATACTATTACAAAACAAAAACGGTGTAATTCGAAGCCTAAAAATCAGCTAAGTATGGAGCAATCTGTTGAAAGTCCTTTACACACTGAACAACAACGATTAACTGTCTCAGAACTGGCAAAACCTGATATACCCCAGTCAATACCTTCATCTAAGTGTGATGTTACTAGTGAGGTTAGTTTTTATACTCTTTTTATTTCATATCGCTTTATATTGTTAGTGAGGTTGAATTATGTGATCAATAAAATGTATAATTAAAACAAATGATTATAGGTAAGATGTTGCATTGTCTGTGCTAGACGGTGGTTTGATTACAAATATTTCGTTGTTTTTCTATTGGAGAAAATCACTATATTCATGCTTTCAAACCAATACTGAACCGGATCTTAAATGTTAATAAAAGGGTGGGGGAGGCAGCTATCACTCACTTCATGAAAGGATATTTCTTCTTGATAAACCTGAAAATAAAGCTGTTATTAGTGATATGTGACCATGACTTCGAATCCCACTAGACATCTGTTTAAGATGGGTCGCATATGACCTTTTTTGCTAGTTCTCGATGTATTAGTTCCATAATCTTGAGATTTACATCCGGCGACTGAAGTTCATATGTTAAATTGTTTGTTGTTCGTAGCGTTGTATTTCTCTAGGATCTCTGGAGATCCTGATTGTCTGAGGGAAATCTGTTACTGTTGTTACACTCCACTACAGTAATCACTGCAATTTTTCCTTGGGATCTTAATTTTTCTGCTTTTCGTCTTACCACTCACCAGTCGACCTACCTGATGTTCTAGGATATGGGAAAACGTAATCCAAACAAAATAGGTCGATAAGGTTTCTTCGACCGTCACATCAAGGTACCACCTACGGTCGGTTTCCAATAATGCGATTGTGTCGATTACTATGGTACGAAGTTCTTCGTTGTTACTGACTGACTGACTGGATCTAACCTAATTCATTGATTTGTAAATGTTTAGATTTTCCCATTGTTAATGTTTAGAATACGATTGATCAGTGAATTATTATTTATTGTAAAACATATTGAGATTGATAAATTGGGATGCGTTATAATCTTTTATTGTACTTATATTATCACATATATTATGCATTCGAATAGAACAATCTACAACTAGTCTTGTATGAATATTAATGACTATAAGTGTTTGTAATGAATTATGAATAACAGAGAGTTGGTCGATATTCTGCTAATAGTTTAGTGAAATATATTAACATTTATTTAATTGTCAGCTTGGAGTTGTTGAGATTGTTGAAATTCATTGAAATCACGAACTGATTAAGTTAGACAGTTATTGAGTACCTGGAACCACTAGATGGTCGTTTCGTCATCAATGTACATCCACAACCCTGCACGCTAGAGTCGAACCAAGGACTCTCGGTTTCACATGCAAACCCTAACCTGTTCGGGTGCGTTTGTGAAAATTTTACGACCCTTCGCTGTACAAGTTACAAAAGTTTAAAATCGGAGACATCGTGATGGCTGGCAATATGCATTGAAAAGAATGAATATTATTCAGATGTCGACTTCTGAAACATTCATATCTAACTGGCAATCATTCAATTTTATCGTCAATATCGATCGAGAAATAGGTAACGGAAGCTCGCTGAAATACCTTGTACTCAGAACTCTATATTGTACCCAAAATATAATATTGAATAAAGCTAGTAATAATGATAATAAACCGCTGAACCAGGATCCAATTTAACTGGTTTCGCTTAGTATATTGATTTTTTTTAACAAAGATTATGAATGCTAACAATTTAAATTTTCTTCTGTTTTCTATCTCAGCGATCTCAATTAACACCTGATGATAATGATTGTAAACTTCGTCGTTACATTGAACAATGTTCATTATTTCGTTCCACTAGATCAATCCGAAATCGACCTTCTGAACGTGTTACCAATTGTACTTTACCAGGTTCTTTAGGTACTGTAAAGTTTCGTAGTCGAAAAAATAAACAAAAGTTCACATCAGTTATTTCATCAATTCATTTAGATAGTCCTAATTCAGATTCGGAACTACAAGATTGGAAGTGTTCATGGTCTCTTATACATCATGATAATGATGTCAATTGTAATACTAAAAAAGTTACTAATCAATCAAGTTATAATCGACCTCGTGCACCACATATTCCTAGTCCATTACATTTATCAGGAAGTATTTTAAGCGAAGAACCTTCTCAATTATTTGATGAAAAATTAGAACAAATGAAAAATGAATCAAATATTTCTCCATCGAAAACAAATAATTCAGCAATCAAAACTATCAACAACAATATCCATAAAAATAAATCATGTATTTTAGAATCTGCTGTCAAACTAGCTGGTTTTGATGAATCACCGGAGAATGTAAGTTACAATATAAAATTCTCTGTAATTACTTCCTTACACCTATTACCCCTCACGGAGGAGCGTAAGCCGCTCATCAGCATTATCCATCCAACTTTGTCCTGGGCAATCTTTCCCAGTTACTATCTATCCTTTTCTTATGTGCGTCCAATTCTCAAAGCAGTGTTCTTCGACCTTCCTCTTCTTTGTTTCCCTTCAGGATTGTAAGTTAGGGCTTGCCTCGTGATATAGCTTGATAACTTCCTCAATGTGTGTCCTATCTACTTCCAGTCGAACGGCTCTCGTTCTTGCTCTCAAATCTTCTTGAATAGAACATGGAGCATGTTTTCAGTTGCTTCTATCTCTGGTATATTGTCAGATCCTCCTACTTTCCCACTCTGTATTTACTTTATTCTAAACCAATAATGTACTTGAAATCTAAGATCATGACTGGACGAATGGCATATTAACCTAGTTTGATCACCTAGTACCTTAATATTGCATTTCTTTAAGTTGCTCGACTATCTTGTAGCATAAACTCCTTCTGTCGAAAGCTCAGGAAATGGTTCTCCTAAAAAGAAACCAATTGCTTCGGTCTAAGGGTCTGAACATTATCAATAACCTACACACAAATATGACTAGCCTCGGCAAATTCTTTCCATTTTGTTACATATTTAGAGATTAACTTAGTTCTTTTCCAACCACAGAATTGTTCAACCATTTTGATGGCTTAGTAGATTATAATTCCTTGTCTTGTTTTTTTTTTCCAACGGATAGTATCATCAACTTTTATGCATGAAAAAGGTATACTTCAAAACCGAATACATAAACTTTCTATTACAAAGGTCTATATTTTTATATTTTCCTATCGTCGTTTGATGAGAATATATTCACTGTTATTGTCTCTTTCAAAATTTACCATCTATTTTTCCCCTTCAAATTTAGGATCCTTTAGTGAAGAATATATTAAATAATGGCGAACGCCTATCTATACCATCATTTTCTGATCTTACACCTAATTCATTTAATGCTAAAATTTGTATCGAAGCAAAAAGCAATAATGAACAACAACAGTTTAGTCCATTATTTCCTACTTCTACTTTACCAATAACATCGTTGTCTGATGAATATACATCATCACCTGTTTTAATGAGACCTAAAAGAAACCTGAGAAATTCATGTACAACTAGAAAAAGAGCATTCACATCGCTTACTACTACTTCAGCAACCAATAATGGTGTTGATAATGATGGTAAGGATTGTCTAGTTTACAAAAATTCTAATAATAATAATAAGGTAGGTAGAACTAGGAAAACATTATCATCTATACCCAAAGAAAATAATCTATCATTGCCTACAGATAAAACAATTAAACAGAATTCGAGGAAGTCAAAATTTGAAGTGAATAATAACTCTCTTGAAATGCCTATTCGACGATCTACACGACTTATTGTACAGTCTGATAAAAGTTGTAATAAACCTCCCTTTGCTGTTGCTTCAACGTTGCAGCATCATATACCACCTATTGTGAGTATTCCAGAAGATAAGTGTAGTAGTAGTAGTAGTAGTGGTAGAAGGACTAGGAGTAGCGCTTTAATCAATTTAAAACCAGAAAATACCGCAAAAAATCAACGAAAAAGACGGATGACAACATCTACAAATGAAACGAAAGAAGAAATTCTTAAAATATCAAATACTGATTTCAATAATACTTCTTCAACATCTACTGGATCATCAAGAACCAACACTGTAAGTTTTGCTTGCAATTTAAAATATGCTACTTGTTCTCACTTAAGTAGTTATTTTCATTGACCGAAACATTACAAGATGCCATCTCAGTATATAAGGAAATTCTTCGAAATCAATGAGTTTTCGTTTTGATTAATAACGAGTATTTTAATGGAATATAGTGTAATGTAATTGGTACTATTCAACTCATCTGATTCATAGGAACTTGTAAACGTGATGTATTTTCCTATCGTTTAATCATGTATTCGGTCATAAAAAAACTTAAGTTTTCATTGTCAGTCAGTCAGTTAGCTACAACGTGGGATCAGGCACATATGTGCATCGGTCCAGGTTGCCATACCGCATCAGCACAACAAGATGAACACCGGATTCATAGCAGTGGTTAGGTCAGAGGTGGTAATATATAAGAGAAAGATTGCATATAGAGATATAGTACAAGAAGAAAGAATTGGTTCGTAGAAAGAAAGATATGAAGTGATTTTAATCTCTTAGTTTAAGGGAAGACAGAGAGTGTATACACCTACCCCATTGTGATCGATTCTGAGCCATGTCACCAAGAGCCTCCAACCATTGGTTACGATAGTCACACGGACCCCAACCAAGTAGTTTTCATCTACCAACATGGCTCATACCAGAAGTTAGTGACTGTATGGACTGATGCCACATTTTGGTTTGACCACCCCTAACTTTCTTCCAACCATCCCCAACACTAGTTAGCATTGCGCGTCTTGGTAATCGGTGTTCAGGCATACGTAATACGTGGCCCAACCATCTCAGTCGATG